CATGTAGGTGCCGGGAATCGATTTAGGTTCTCTGCAAGAGCAGCCAGTGCTCTTAACTGCTGAGCCATCTCTCCAGCCCCGCCACAGTCTCCCTCCTAATATTAAAGTAGACGGTTTGGTTCCAGCAGGCTCCTTTGAGTATTACCTTGAAATAACATATTCACTCAACATAATACCAGAATCAGTAGTCAGTATATTGGATCACTTCCAAACTAAGACAGTTAAAGTCATTCAAATATTTGTGTAACACCTCATTTGACAATTTATTTTAGAAGGTACAATTATAAAGGCATAGTTAATAATTAATGACTGGTATCTATAATTAATACAGAACTTGGTGAAGTCTAAATAGTTTCCCAGGGACCACCAATGTCTAGTTCTATGCTACAAAGACCGGGTGATAGCATAGGTACAACACTCCCTGCTGGCAAACAGTCACTCCTACCAGAGGTGAGATGAGGTAGCAACAGAACTTCATTACCAAACCAAACTGCCAGCAAAGTGATGGATGAGTTAATTTTTTTTTTTTTTTTTTTTTTTTTTTTTTTTTTTTTAAAAAAAAAAAAAAAAAAAGAGGACGATAAATCTTTCACTGTGATATATCAAAATAACTGGCCTTGAACTCACAAAGATCCGCCTGCCTCTGCCTCCCGAGTGCTGGGATTAAAGGTGTGCGCCACCATGGCCGGCTTAAATTTTATAACTGAATTAGCTTTCAAAAATCTATGTTTTATTCAGGGAGATAGTTCATACCTTTGGAGAGGGCTTTTCATGTTACCTAACAATCTCCACAACAAATGAAGTAGGTACTAATATTCTCATTTTACAGATTGAGGAAAATGAAACTTGTGGGAAAGGAAAACCTTACAAAGAAAGTAGTAAACCACTAATTTAAAATGTCTTTAAACATATATGTATAATGCAAGGCTATTTTGGCTGAAGATAGACAGGGTTTTGTATTAATATATGGGGAGTTAAAAACAAGTTCTAGGCAAAACGTGCAATTTTATTAAGTAGCATATAAAGGATAGTTATAATTAGCTTTAATAATTTAAGTCATTTGGAAACATGAAAATACTAAAAGCTATTAATAGAGGTTATGGGAGGTTTCAAATACTTATTTTATCTCTCAAACTATCCTGTGAGGTCTGTACTATCATTATCTCCAGTTTACAGATAAGGAAATAGAAACAGAGGATACCTAATCTGGCTAACTCCATAAAATGGCTATTCTCTTTATTATGCTAGAATATTGCTTCTTCAAATAGTTAACATATAAAAGCCTATTATAGTAAGGCACTTCATTTATTCTATTTTTGCAAAAGGCAAGAGTAACGGCTTCCAGAGAACAAAGCATTTACACATACATTTTCACATTAATAACATTTAACATACATAGTTGTATATGCAGTAAGTGCTATCCATCTCACATTTTAAGCAGGAGATAAATGATAGTCTGAGAACTTTTGTCACTACTCACCATCATATGCATATTCTTTAGAATTTTCTGTGAATGGTTTTCTCCTCTACTGGAATATCTTTCCTTTTCTAATAAAAATTCAACTAAATCGTTAAAACCTGGATCGGATAGTACTTATTTAGATACAACTTTCCTAACACTCAAGGCAAAATTAACAGTTCCTTTCTCATTTCGCCTCATCATACCTTTCTACCAGCATATGTATCAGCTATAGCTGTGCTTAATTCCCTAGCTGATACTGGCTTTCATGATGTCAAGGGCCATCTATAGGAGAAAGAATTCCTAGGATCCCACTACTTCAATCAATAAAAGGATGAAGCAGTAAACTAGTAGTCTGGCTAAAAGAAACAGAAGATTCATGCTGACATGCCGTTGTCACTTTTAAAACAAAAAGCTATCCTCACAGCTAAAAGAATTATCCCAAATGTTCCTGGCAATGCTACCTGCACAGTGGAAGGGAAGTAACTAGACAGACTGCCAGCTGAGACAGTTACTCTACTGTTAATCACTCAACCATATTGTTTCATTGACTTTATGCTTCCTGTTTCTCCCAACTTCAAGAGGGCCCCAAGGACTGTGAGACTGTTTACCTCTCTTTGGAGAAATGTGGGCTATTTCAGGTATCTCTGGCAAATAAAAAAGGTAAGTGAAATGTTAAATGGAATAACTTCTGACAAATTCAAAACCAGGTTAAGAATTAAACTTTGAGGGCTGGAGAGATGGCTCAGCGGTAAAGAACACTGACTGTTCTTGCAGAAGACCCGGGTTCGAATTCCAGCACACACATGGCAGCTAACAACTGTCCATAACTCCAGTTCCAGGGGATCCAACAGCCTCTTCTGTCCTCCACAGGCATTGCATGACAGGTGCGCTTACCTACATGCAGGCAATACACACATACACATGAAATAAAAATATTTTCTAAAAAATTTTAAAAAAATTAAACATTGAGACCAACTTATTAAATGTTCCGCCACATGACTGTTAGAGAAGTTAACCCTTTTTCAACCCACTAGATTTTATCCTTGCATAAATTCCTTAGCCAAATTCATTGAAAAGACCCAATGGTACCATACATGTGCTTCATAAAACCAAGGCTTAAAGTGAATTAAAGGAAAGAAGATGAGACTGGAGAGATGGCTACTCTTGCAGAGGACCCAGGTTCAGTTCCCAGCACCCATGTGACTGACGACTGTCCATAGCTCCATTTCCAGGGAACCAGATGCCCTCTTCTGACCTCTGTGGGTATTACACAACATGGGTGTACTTACACACAGGCAATGCACTCATACACATAAAAATAAAAAACACAGTTTTGAGCGGGGCGTGGTGGTGCACACCTTTAATCCCAGCACTGGTGGAGCTCTGAGTTCAGAGCAGGTGGAGCTCTGAGTTCAAGGCCAGCCTGGTCTACATAGTGAGTTCCAGGACAGCTGGGGCTACAGGGAGACCTTGTTTCAAAAAGAACAACAACAAAAAAAAAAAGAAAACACACTTTAAAAGGGAATGATGATAAAGACTTTTAAAACATGAGAATTATCTCAAATACAACAGGAATTACCTCTATCTATGGCACTCCAGAAATCTACCTTTCACTCCTCTGTAGCTTTTCAGGGTTGAGGAAGAGATTTTTTTGAATGCTCTGAGTTTTAGTATTTTTTAAAACATTATATAATCATGTATACAAGAAATCACCATTTCTGATTATCTGTTCAAATATACAAGACTTAACATTTCTTCATATTAAAGAGAAAGACCATTTAAAAGAAATCCAATAGTTTTAAAAATACTACAGAGTAGCAGTTGCTTGATTCCTTTTATTTATGTTTATTATCATAACAGAAACTCAGCAAAGCTTCCTAGTGAAAAATTTTGATGGAGAACGAAATAAAGTAATATGAAAAGTAAACAGTTTTCATTTGAACCAAATTCTCAGTGGTTAATTTATTTCCTTTCAGTATGTGCCATTTGGTTGCCTTAAATAAAAAATTAATTTGAGAACAGTCAGTCATTAATATTTAAACCCAAAGAAAATGGTAAAACTATCCCTAATTAAGGATTAGCCTCAATTCAGTCAGTAGTTCTGCAGGCCCTGTTCCTATCGAGTACCCCAGATCACATTATAAATCCCATATTCTGAAAAGATCAATTTCTAATTCATTTTCCAGATTTTTTATCAAACAATATAATAATACAATAAATAACAATCACCAAGTACTATGACACAATCTTTATACAAAACAAAGACCAGATATCTGACATTTTATTCACCATATTCTTTATTATTTTTAATCACATGTGTATGTGTGTGTCTGTGAATGGGTATGAGCACATGAATGCAGGTGCTTGCAGAGGCCCAAAGCAAAGCATTCCCTGAAGTGGAGTTCTGGACAACTGTGAGCCACCCAACTTGGGTGCTGGGAACCACACTCGGTTCCTCTACAAGAGTAGTAGTAAGTATCCTACACTGCTGAGCCATCTCTCTCCAGCCCCTCTCTGTAGTCTTACTGTAGGCCTTTCATTACATAGAATTGTTTTGGTATTTTGTTCTTCCAATATGAAAAATGACTCATGTACTATCATTAATAGTTCTGTGAGAATTTAATAACTCATGATTCAGGGAGGGAATTTTATTCATCTTTTTCTATGGGACATTTTGCCTTTACACCTATTTTCTGTTATTACAGGCAAACAGGAAGAAATGTTTGTGTTTGACCTAGTTTTGCAATGAAGGTTCCACCTCCAGTTATGAACAGCAAGTTATGTGGTAGATAAGGAAGAAGCAGTATAATCAGTGAGCAATGGAATCACAAAGCCAGGGATTCAAGTTCTGGCTTATCACGTTTTTTCTGGCTATGTAACTAGGTAAGTCATGGTCTTTCAGTTTTCTTAGGAAAATGTGGATTGGGATTAAATATACAAATCCTACCATATAGCAGTCCCCAAATATATTACTTTCTTACCCCCCTGTTCCTTAATAATTAAAGTATTACTGTAAATTTGACATTTTCAGAATTAGAATACCAGTCAAAGCCATTTTCACAGACACATTTGAATTAGCTGTGTAAATTGCAAGCTCTGTGTAAACTGTCCTCTCCTGCTGTACACAAACATGTCACAGTTGAAGCACTCTGAACCTGAAATCTGGAAAAGAATGTGAGAGCCTCCATCAGTAGTGGTGTTACTGCTCACTGGTCCCTGGAACATGGGTACAGGCCTAAGTACTGCACCAGGCCAGCTTTAAGAGGACTCCAAAGAACATTCAACGCTGTCGGTGAGTTTGGGATTTAAAAAAAAAAAACCACCGACCGTTGACTGTACCTTGTGATCCTTACAGACAGCACAGAACTTCCTGACGCAAAGGAGTAGGCTGTATCTTCATGTCCCATGACATCACCTGAAGTCCTGTGACTTCAGTCCTCTAAAGGGAATTCAGCAATATTTTTTCAACGCTCCCATGTATTTTCCATTGTTTCTTGTTCTTTGTTATAGTCTGACAAGTGTTTCATTTTAACAAGTTATGAGGAGCTCCACCATAGCACCAAATGCATTTGTATGTTTGCTATTCTCATCAGAAATAGGATGTAGTAAAAAAAAAAAAATTAAAAATATCTATTTGGAGACAACCGCGGACACTATAGTGGCCTACTGGCAGCAGGCCGGACTCAGCTTCATCCGGTTCTCCCAGATCTGTGCAAAGGCAGTGAGGGATGCCCTGAAGATAGAATTCAAAGTAAACACAGAGAAGTCTTCCAGCAGCAGTATAAAAATTGTGAAGGTGAAAAAGGAATAACTGACCCTGACTGAAGCTTGCAGTGCTGCATCCTGACGGTGGACACATGAACACCTGCCGTGGCAGATGGCAATCAGCCTCGCTTCATAAATTGATGATGTTCATAAATTGATGATGCCAATAAATTAACATAGCTCACTCTTTTTAAAAAAATCTATTTGGTAATGGAATACCTAGTCAAATATTTTATTCCCATTTCTTCCACATCCTCTCAAAATTTTTCTTTAGGGGAAAGGAGAGGAGTTAATCAAAAAAAAAAAAAAATAGCACAAAACTGCTTAATGTCCATATGACTCATCGTATTCTGCCTCCTTGTGCAGTTAATGCTGTTTTGCCAGCCCCTCTACTGCATAATACTTCATGCTTCATTCCACCCACATATGTACTTATCTCAGTATTTGCTAAATTCAAGCACAAAGATGTAATTGGAGTTAGAAAGACTGTAAATGAATTTTGGTTCAAACTCTAGTTGAATGACCCTAATCAAGTGCCTGAGTCAATTTTCTCAAGTATAGAATAAGAGATCTGCCAGGTGTGGTGGTGCACACCTTTAATCCCAGCACTCTAGGCCAGAGGCAGGTGGATCTCTGTGAGTTCAAGGCCAGCCTGGTCTACAGTGACCTGGTCTTCCAGGTCAGCTGGGGCTACAGGGAGACCTTATCTCAAAAAGACAAAAGCTGTGTGTGTGTGTGTGTGTGTGTGTGTGTGTGTGTGTGTCTGTATGTGTATGTGTGTGTAAAATATAGGAGATCAGAGGTCCTAGACCTCGTAGTTTTGAGTTTTTTTTTTTTTTTAGTCTTTTTGAAACGGTCTCTCTGTAGCCCCAGCTGACCTGGAAGACCAGGTCACTGTAGACCAGGCTGGCGTAGGTAAGTGCACCTGCCACCTGAGGTGGTCTCCCAAGTGCTGGGATTAAAGGCGTGCACCACCACGCCCCGCCAATTTTGAGATTTTTAAAAAATATTTTATTATTTTTATTTTATATGTATGAGTGTTATGCCTGCATGTAGGTAAGTGCACCTGTGTCATGCAATGCCCATGAAGACAGAAGAGGCTGTCAGATCCCTTAGAACTGGAGTTACAAGCAGTTGTTATCTGCCATGTGTGTGCTGGGATTTGAACCCAGGTCTTCTGCAAGAACAGTGCTCTTAACCTCTAAGTCATCTCTCCAGCTCCAGTTTTGAGATTTTTAATAAGAAGATATACAAAGGTATGAACTATTTCTACTTCACTGCAAATGCTTACTAGACAATAAGCTACTACTTAACTCCAAGCATAGTCCGTACTAATTTACCTTGAAAAAGCATTTAAAACTTTAGTTCAAAACGAAAGCTGAAGCAAGATCTCTGAGCTCTCATTTATAGAGGCCAATACATCAGCACTGCCTATGTGTTCAACAGAGCTACCTCTGAGATTCTCCAGCTCCTTCCTTCTCACAGCTTTTCCATCTTCTAAGAAGCCCTTGGCTCTGGTGTCAAACTTACCTATAACCGTGTGAGTCTTCAACCATACACAGATGGCTTGTTGGTTACACACAAATTTCAAAGACCCGGTGTGGAAAGACCAACCAGGAAATGGAAAAGATCAAGGCAATTTCAACAAATGGAAACACTGATGGCTGCACTCAACATTCATTGCTGTCGGTGGGTTCGAATGTGAATCAACTCACTGACCAATGAATGCAAACTGCGGACCAAACAACTCAAGGAAACCCAGAGTGCATAAGAGTGCTTATTGGTGTGACTCTAATGTGCCAGCTAAAACCACTTTCTGTTCATTTGGTTCTAAGATGGAGAAAGTTCTCTAAATTCCTAGTACTTTTTGTTTTCTTCTCCAATATTCGATACTTAAGGAAATTATACTGTTACAGGCAAAATGAATGATATGCCTTGACATCACATGCTATTTAAACTAATGCTTTCATAATTTTTAAGTTAAAGAATATGAGTTAAAATTTAAGTACATAAAAATTTAAATCCTTCTCAAACCCATATCTTCAGTGAAAATGATCTATAAATTTATTACTTGGTATTAATAAGACAGTACTATAAAATGTTATATCCTTGGGATTTATCTATATACATAAAAACTGATACAGAACTACATTTGGAGAAGGTCAAGTGGTGACAAAACATGGGCTCATTGTTCAATAACTTTTTTCTCTTAGCTATGTATCACAGAATTTTCATTCTTTTTGACGGGGGGGGGGGAAGACAAGGTCTTATATATCCCAGGCTGACCTCAAATTCACTAAGTAGCTGAAAATGAACTTGAACTTCTGACTCTCCTGCCTTAACCTCAAGGATTACAGGCACATACCACCACACCTGGTATATGTGATACAGGAGACGGAACTCAAGGCTTTGTATACTAGGCAAGCATTCTAACAAGTGAGCTTGTAGCCCTCCTATTCTTGTGTGTCTGTCCATCTTTGTGTATCTGTGTATATACATGTGTACGCTAGGTAGACATCAAATGTCTTCCTCAATCACTCTCCACATTATTTATCTATTTGGTTTTTTTTTTACTTTTAAAAAATGTATTATTTTTATTTTGTGTGTATGAGTGTATTGCCTACATGTCATGCAATACTATGGAGGTCAGAAGAGGGCTTTGGATTCCACTGGAACTGGAGTTAAGGACTGTTTGCAGCCACCATGTGGGTGTTGGGAATCAAACCTGAGTCCTCAGTGCTCTTAACCACTGAGCCATCTTGTCCTGCTTCCCAAGTGCTGGGATTAAAGGCTTATACCACCATGGCCAGCAAGAAAGAAAATTTTAATTACAAGAATTCTGGGAAAATATGAGGTTCAAAGTCAGTTTTCCCAATCCTGACTGAGTACCATAATCATCTAGAGCTGCTGTTAAAAAGGCAGAAATCCCTGAGTATTACCCTAGAGCAGAGATAAGCCCCATTTAAAATGTGTATTATATTGCTGGGCATGGTGGCGCATACCTTTAATCCCAGCACTCGGGAGGCAGAGGCAGGTGGATCTCTGTGAGTTCAAGGCCAGCCTGGTCTACATTATGAGTTCTAGGACAGCTGGGGCTACAGGGAAACCCTGTCTCAAAAAGACAAAAAAAAAAAGTGTATTATAATAAGTTTGCTGTTTTTTAATACTGCCATTTTCTTTTTCATTTGTGACTTGTGGCATTATTAGTGTCCTATCTAAAATGTCTTTGCCTAGACTAAGACCACAAAGCTATTCTTCAATGATTTAGTTTTAGTGCTTACACAGAGTTAATTTGGAGGTCTAGCATAAACAGTTTGTTTTATTCTGCATTGTTGGTTGATTTTTTTTTTGATACACATATATCCAAGTTCCCCAGCATCACTTACAGAAATGATCATCTCTCCCACTGTATTGTATAAACACCCTTGCCAAAAATCAATTAACATCAGAATCTATTTCAGAACCACTTTAATTCCTCTGATTTTTTTTCTACTATATTTTCTTAGTGAGTAGTTATAAAATCATGCATTTTTCAGTTGTGACAACTTCTAACTACAGGAAATACATACACTTTCTCCAACATATCTCCTGTCTAGCTTCATAATATTTTCACATAAAACCAGCAGTGTTACAATTCTTTTTTAAAATATTTTTATTTTATGTGTATGAGTGTATTGCCTACACATATGTAAATGCATGTACCATGCAATGCCCACAGAGGTCAGACGAGGATGTCAGACTTCCTGGAACTGTTGTTATGGACAGTTATTAGCTCCCATGTGGGTGCTAGCAATCAAACCCAAGTCCTCTGCAACAGCAGCCAGTGCTCTTAATGCATGAGCCATCTCTCCAATCCCCCTTTTTTGCTACTTTTCAGATTTTCTCTTTGTCCCCATTTTCCAAGTTTGATGCCTGTTTATCACAATGGGGATATATCGGGCTTCAAGATCTATGGGTTAATGTTTTTCATTAGATTCAGGGAATTTGAGGCCATTATGTCTATATTTTCTACCCCCTTTCACACTCCTGATTCTCATTAAAGAGATCACTTGATGTGAACCTATAGACCTCACAAGTTCTATTCATCTTCCGTCAATTTTTCTTCTCTGTTCTTCATATTAGCTATCTGTATTGATGTATCTCCAAGTTCACCACTTTTTCTTCTATCACCTCCAAGCTGATACTGATCCCCCCTGCTTAATTTTTCAATTCAACAGTACTATTCAACTCTAGGGTGCTCTTAGTATCTCCTTATTGAAATTGTATTGAGGTATTGTCAAAACTAACTCCATTTTGCTCTAGTTGACTTTTGCTTTACCCTGTGTTTTTGCCCAGCCATTCCCACTACAGCCAGTCAGGAAGAACATCTCAGGCAGACAGTCTCAGAGAGTACATTGTTTCTACAATACTGGGAAACTTATAAGGAGCCAGGTAGCTCATCCAGATAGCAGTCCTCCCTCCAGCTATACCTGCATCTCTACAGAGCCCACTGTTTCTACAATTCTGAGAAACATGTTTTTTCCTTATCAAAACTTTTTAATGTGAAAACCTCTTTGTTAACTGATCTGCCTCTAGTCTTGTGTAACTACAGTTATTGGCTTTGCCCCTGGCATGATGTAATTGTGGTTTTAAGCTTTATAAGCCCTGCCCTGCTTCTCCTCAGTGTTGAGAGTTCTTCTGGACATTAGGCCCCTCTGTGACCACCAGCTATTAATAAAGGACTCCTAATTCGACTACTATGTGGCTTCCTCTGTGCATCTTGCTCACTATTACACTTCCAATTCCTTCAATGTAGTTTTCTCTCTTTGAAATATCTATAAGCTGCATGGCAAAAATGTGTGTGAAAACTCACAGTAAAAAGAGAAACTAGAACCTATTTGAAGGCACACAATTCCAGCACTTTAGAACTTGAGGCAACTAGGCACATGCCTTTAATCCCAGCAGTTCAGAGGTAGAGGCAGGGGGATCTGAGTTTGAGGCCAGCCACAGCTATATAGTAAGACCCTGTTAAAAGAAAGGGAGGGAAAGAGAGAAAGAAAGAGAAGGAAAGGGGGAAGGGGAAAGGAAAAGAAAAGAGAAGGGATGGGAAGAGGGGAAGGGGGAAGAGGGGAAGGGGGAA